CATTGCGGAGAAAAGCATGGACAGTGGAAAATACATACTGTACAAAAAATAGCAACTAAAGGCTGTTTGTTTGACTTAAATTCATCTCCTTCCTGCCTACCTGAATTGTCACATAAAATAGAAGTCTTTGGGTTTTTTTATTCTCTTCGTTCACCTTGAAGGCCCAGGTATTATTCCCTCAAGTTTATTCACTCAGCAAAATTGCATTATCAATTTTATTATGTGTTATTTATAGTATTACTATACATTCTTAAAACAAAAAGCAGATTATTTATTCACTATGTACTAAAAAATCTTGTCTGTTATGTTGAGTTTCCATATGTATCTTACAGAAGGACAATCATATGTGATTTAAAGGCTTTGAGAGAAAAGAAACCACTGTGCATAGCAGTAATATATTTGGACATTCAGAGATGCTTATATAGGGTAAGCATGATGGTAGACTGTAGAACTACCCAGTGTACTGGGATGTGTCAGTAGCCTCCACAGGGAAAAGTGGTTTTCTTCCTTTGACCAGATTTGTATCTCTCTAATGATTATATTACTCATTATGTTTAGAAACACAGAGATGTTTCTCTATTGGGTTTTTTTCCTCTTCATTCCTATCAGCTATGTTGTAGAGAAAGTTAAATTTAAATCAGAACCCAGTCACAACAGCCGTGTTGGGAAAGTTTGTCTCTGATTCCAAATGTACGAGTCTTGAATTAATGAGAAATTTAACATAAAGAAAAAAACGCAGAACCTAATGGATACAGGTTTGCAGCTCTTGCATTTAAATTGCCTTGACCTTAATCTGAGTATCTAAGAACTGTTTGCAGCGAGTAGAAACTGTAGAGGCTTGCAAGAGAGTCCTGGAGCCACAAAAGTAGGTTTTGCTTTATCCTGTTAAATTACAGGTTTTACTTGGCTGTAAACAGACCGACTGTTTAAAATTGCCGTTCTTCTGTTACTTTACATGGCTTCTGCTGCACAACCTAACAGAATGCCAATAGGCCAGTCTGATACGTGGCATCTGCTGTGGCAAGAGCCCAGCAGTCTACCTTTGCCATCCCCAGCAGCCGCGAGGCTCTCTGGAACGTGATGGGGGAGCTCCCCTGGGCTGAGCTTCCCTTCGCCCAGGATGCTGTCCCTCTGGTCATCCCCTGGGCACCGCATGGAAAAGGGCTTCCTCATAGCTCTCCGGCAAGTGGAGGAAGTTTAGGTTAGAGTCCTTCCTCCTAGTCGTCTCTCCCAAACCGTGTTGCTGCCCATCCTCCCCTGCAACAGGACAGCATCCTGGCTTAAGCTGCAGGCTGATGGATCCAGTTCAGTTTTGACCTCAGATGTGGTACACAGACAAGGATAAGCCTAAAAGGATATTATGTGGATTGTGGAGTCAAGCACATCACATTTAGGAAACCCTGAAGGTAGTTTGTCTAAGCAGCCTTACTTTGACTCCATTGGGCGTCATCCTTATGGTATTACAGAGTTACCTATCAGTTGTCATTCTTTTATTCCACAAAACTTTTCCATGGTGGAGTAGATGGGAGGCTGGGACTGCCTATATACCCCCTACCCCCTGCATTGCAAAGTACAAGGAGGGGTACACCCTGCTCAGTAGGGAGGCACATACCTCTCTCTCTTCCCATATGGATTCTGTGGATCATCTTGCACTGCAGTCATTCTTGGGAGTTTGGGAGGTATTGGGTAGGGTAGGAATATTTAATGAATTATGTGATTTGCTTTTTGTTTGGTTAAGTACATGAGAGAAGAAGTAGTAACTGAGATTCAAAATAGAAGTGACAACTTCATTTCACACCCACAGTTGCAGAACTATGAAAATGTGTAACGTTTGCCACTTCTTTAAATGGTTGTCAGGCTAATCAGACGGGTTTAATCTGTGTTTTAGATGAGAAATTGTCTTACAGGCTTGAAGCTCAGGAGAGGAATAGCATGAATCTGGCTTGAGGGACATCAGTCTTACTTCACATTGACCTAAGCGGCTGTTTCCAGGTTTACAATATATTAACAGAAGAAATACACAAAACAGAAAACATAGTGGAGCCTTCCACATCCCAGTTTCTGGGAGACTGAAAGGTGACGTTAGGATAGCTGTTGAATGTATGCTCCATCTGGAAGGAAGACAGAAAGGAATCTTAATAAAATAAAAATTGAGTTCCTGACCTAACATGAACTTTCGTGGTTTGTAAAGCAATTAGATGAAAAGTTCTGTTTCCAAAATACATGAAGATGTTTATGGAGATATGTCATTGGTTAATCATCACTAATATTTATTCCCAATTTAGGCAGCTGAAAAGTGAAACAGGTCCATTTTTTAGCTACTTGAAAATTTTTTGTAGGAGTTATAGGGGGGAGGTTTCTAAGGTAACCTACCAATAAATAAGTATTTCCAAAATAAGGAAAAATAAATTTCAAGAACATGCTGTAACGTCTGGTAGGACAAAGTTGAAAAACAGTGCTTTGAGTCTTAGCTGTAATGTATCTGCATTTGTTATCTGTACGGGTTTCTTGGGATGTTTTGTGTAGGAATATATTCCCTCCTTTTTTTTGAACCTAAAAATGTTACCTTGGAATGGGTAGGTAAAAGTATTTCTACCAGACCATTTCAAAATGTAGTAAAAATATAATAACTGTTTACGTCCGTGGTATCAGCTCAGAGTGTTTCTACATTTATGTACTTCTTAACTTATTTTATTTGGGGAAAAAAAAGGAATCACAAACTGTTTATGTCACTTCATGATTTTTAGATGATGCATATAGTATACCTATATAGTATGCGTAAATAAATATAGCAAAAATTATCTGCAAATGAAAACGAAGCTTGGGAATGCAGGGCTGAGGTTTTTTGATTGACTCAGTGAAAAATTTCCAGATAATTATCTATTAGTAAGTATTTGAGAAGTTGTGTGTCACATCTTCATTTTGGTCACATCAAAATTTTGGTACAGTACGGTCTAATGATCACTATAAATTTTTGGGTATAAATTAACGTGTGTAAAATGAAAAGTAGCTGTAATTCATGAGACCTGTAAGTCATGAGATTTGAGGCATCGTCATTTACTTCTCTAATACTCTAATTAAAATATTACATCAAAAACATATTAATGGTCTTATTTCGTATGTGTATTAGTAGTTTCAAAGTTTTGTATAGCTCTGTCTCTAAGGAAGAGTTTGGATGAAACAACTTGTTTTGTTTGGCTCTCATAGACATGTCATGATGAAGGTGTTTTTCTGCTTTCAGGCATAGTACATTAGTCCTCCTTCTCTTCAATATACTGAGTATTATTGGTAGATTTCAGTGACTTTGACCCATAGAGGCATGTGCTTGCAAAACAAGTGCATCAGATGGCCCTAGTGATTTTCCACATCCCTGTCTTCTGTCCTAGTTCTGTCCCTTAAAGGACCTGAGTCGTGACTTTCAAGAACTTCTGAATAGCCACTTGGCAGAGGTCAGAACCCTGAAGAAAATATTAGCTTGACCATCTCAGACATGAGATGCTGACGTCACAACTTCCTCGTAAAACCTTAATTGTGTTGTACTGACCTAAGGTAATATTCTGTATGCAGTTTCCCGCGCCCCAGAAACATTAGCTGAAAAGTTTTAGCCCATCGGGGCAGGTCTGCATTCTACATCCTTTGAATTACCCTGACTTTTCCCCGTGACGGGCATTGGCAAATGTGGCTACCACCCCAAGGACACTGCACCCCCAAGAGCAGGTGCCTGCAGGGCAGACTTAGCCCAAAGCCTGCACCTTTGTTAGCTCAACAGTGTGGCCGTGATGTGGCCATGGTGGGAGGAAGGGGTGGCAAGCACTGGGGACTATAGGAATGAGTCATGGGGAGCGGGAATCAGTTGCTGGGAGTCTGGTTGGGAGAAGGGGGCTCAGTTGCAGAGCTAACATGTTGACTGCTGTCTGGATGTAGCCCTGTGATGGAAGTAGGTTGGGATCCAGACATGTTCTGCTTGAGGGTAGAAAGGCTCTTCAGAGGGTTCTGGGCAGGCTGGATCGATGAGCTGAGGCCAACTGTGTGAAGTTGAACAAGGCCAAGTGCTGGGTCCTGCACTTGGGTCACACCAGCCCTGTGCAACACTACAGCCTTGGGAAAAGAGGGGCTGGAAACCTGCCCAGCAGAAGAGGACCTTTCTTCACATAAAGGGTTGTCAAGCATTGGAACAGGCTGCTCAGGGAAGTGGTGGATTCACCATCCCTGGAAATATTTAGGAGATAAATTGATGTAGTGCTTAGGGACATGGTTTAGGGTAGACTTGGTAGTTGACAGTTGGAGTCGATGATCTTAAAGGTCTTTTCCAACCAAAACTATTCTGTGATTCTGTGTTTGACACGTGTGAGCAGGATCCTCCTGTGTGCTTGACTCTATGCAACGGATGCCTTCAGCAGCTGAGGAGAAAAAACACTGAATAATGTAGAGCAGACAAGTAAAGGGTTAAAAAATAGTGTGAAAAGTTGGATCGAGGTACTTGGTGTCTTGAAATGAAGCAGGATTTTTCTGGAAGGCTTTAGTCACCTGGGAAAGAAGGATCGGGTAGCTGTGTGGGAGGCAATTTGCAGGCAAGTGTACTCCTCTGCAGTAGATCGGTACATTTTAATGAGGTAAGTATATTTGCTCTGTTTTACAGGTTTTGCTTTGGACTAGAAGTCTGGAAGTCGTTTTAAATAGACTGCTTTGAGATATAATGGTCAGGTGGAAATATTTGAAGCATATAATATGGAAACCCTGTATTTATAATATATTTGTAGTATCTCAGAAGCTGAGCTGAAAAGATTGCCTCTTTTCCAGAAGAGATTTTTAAGAGTAAATAAAACTCATACAGAGGGTGTGAAAACAAAAGTGAAGTTAAAAACTGCTGTAGCTATGCCATTTTAATTATTTACATCTGCAGCTGCCTCTCAATCCATCCCACCCCGCAGGAAAGGAAGCTTTCATACTGGCATCCTTCTTCCCTTCCCATAGGAATGGTACCATTTTTTTTGATGTAGGGTCCCCTCAGAGATGGCTTTACGGGCAGGTGGGAATTCCCACCTGCCAATGGCAAGGAGGGGAGGGTGGGCACCGCCGTGCCTGGTCCCCGTGCTTGCAGCAGCGAGCACCTGCAGGAGGGAGGGCTGAGGGTGTACCCTGCTGTACACGCACCCATCGAAAGGGCTGTGGGAGCTGGGTCCTTTGCCCCAGGAGCCTGACGCTTACCCAGAGCTCGCTCTTTCTATTGAGAAGGCAATGCCTTCTTTGGACAAAGATGCCAGCAAGTGAGATGCATTCAGCTGCTGCCCTAAATATCAGTCAAGCATAAGCTTCCAGCTTGAGGAATGTTCCGTGTTTTCAGGTATTTATCATCTTGACTTTTCCAGTTCTTTCTTTTTCTTGTAGTCATGCTCTCTGTTATGTGTGTCCGCTTTCTCTTTCTACTTTAGTTTGATATCTTGTCCTTTCTTGAGCTTCTTTTTGCTTTCCTTTCCTTCCGTACAGGTAGTTTATAATAGCCATAGCATAACTTCAAAAGTTGGCTCTGCAGTGTTTTAAACAATCATTACATAAGTCATTAAAATAACAAAGGCAAAATAAATGCATCCTCGCACCAGTGAAGAAATAAATTCCAGGGGCAGTATAAGTATCTGCCAATCTCTAGTGTTGCTTCCTCTCTTCTTCCACGACTTTCTGAGAAGGTTTTTCGTGCCTGCTTTAACGTCTCCTTTTCCCTAAAGTTCTGGAAGCTTCTTAAAGAATGGATTTTTCTCTCTCTCTTTTCATTGTGCACAATATAGTTGGGGGCAAAAAGGCATTTCTGGAGTTATTCAGGAGCTCTGTGGTCATGTTCAAAGCTTAACTAAATAATTTTCAGTGCTAGTTTGTTCTGAAAATCTTATGTTCTGCCTCTCCCTGAAAATGTTGCTAGCATGTCACGGGTAGCTGGTGAGGAGCAGAGTGTCACCTTTTTGGGGCACCTTACAGGGGCGGTGTGCAAGGCTGGGAAACCCATACAAAGTAAAAGTGAACTCACTGCGCTGCCAAGATCATTCGCTACGAACTTTGCCCTTTGAGAGAAGTTTTTAATCCTGAAAAGGTGTGGGAAGGGACTGGCAAACAATTTCAGAAAGTTTCAGAATTCAGATATTTACACAACATTTTGACAGGATAGTGAGGGGAATAGTGGTATTGCACCCAATTTGCACAGAGCCAAATTGAACTGTGGAAAAGCTGTTTGCTAGGTTTCTCAAATTTATGACAGGCCAAAGGACTCTGAACAATTTAGTAGCCATGTTGAGGTGCTAAGAGAGACAACCAACTTCTGTGTTTATGTTGACATACTACTTTAACAATTTGATTTGAGAAGGGAAAGACTCATATAATAAGGGAAATACGAATTTGTCTAACCATTCTTCGTTTGATTTTAGAAAGCTTTAGCTAGAAACGCTCAGTTAAACTTACCATCAATGATCTAACATAAAATGGACCCCCAGCTTTAAAAGAAGCTGGTACGTGTGATGCTCTACAGCAGGGGCTGGGGGAGAGGAGGAGCCGGCAGGCAGGGTTGGACCTGCCTATGTGCATTGCATAAAACGGAGCTATGGCTTCACCATCACCAAGGATGGCTTTGATTCCTCTTTCCAATAATTCTGAAATAAGCTTGCTGGCAGATATTTCCGGATTGGGATGCTTGGGATAGCAGCTAGAAAATGCTCGTTGTGCCAGGCGGCTGGCTGCTTGGAGGAAGCAGTGTTGAGCAAAGACTCTGAAAGTCTTGCAATCAAATTATTATGTTGCATGAGAAAATGTCAAGCAGCGGAAAGTTGTGTCTTTCAGGAAAAATTACACAATCTTTTTAAAGTCACAGCCTGGTTCTTTCTCTGGGAAGCTAATGTTTATAAGCTGAGCAGCTTTTTGCATCACTTTTATGCCTTTTCCATGATAGAAGCGTAATTTCCATTAAAAATCAAGTAAGCATGCTTCTAGGTAGGCATTTGTACTTACAGTAAATTTTATATACGAACTGCTATGATTTTTTGAAGATGATCTTCATTACATATCATGTACTGGAAACTGTCAGCAGCCATATGTGTTCAGTATATTTTACTGCAATTTTGCTCATAAGTGTTTTTTGCCTTTCTTCTTTAAAGATGTAATCTATCATTCTGCAAAAGTATAAAGCATGAAGGTTGGGGCAGAGAGGCTACACATAGATTGAGGATTGAAAATACTGAGAAATGTTCTCTTATTTCTTGCGTTTCCAATTTTCAGGAATTCTTTGAACACGCAAAAAAGCTCTGGGATGATGAAGGCGTAAAGGCATGCTTTGAGAGGTCGAACGAATATCAACTGATTGACTGTGCACAGTAGTAAGTATTTCTTTTTATGAAATTCATAGCCAAGATTGTAATCACTTATGACAAGTTAGAAAATAAATTTATATTAGCAAGATCTGGGAGTTTTGCAATGCAGCAATTACGATTTTAATTCTCTGTAGAGCCCAACCATATATAGCAAAAGTAATTGATGGTTTTATCATAGTTTGCCATTATTATACAACTAAATATTCAGCCTCAAATATTTAACAGCTAATAAAGATGAGTATGAAGAAATCAAATGAAATAATCTTTATTCCATTTGAAATCAATTTACATAAAATCATTTCAATTGAGCCTATTAAATTTTAAAAAATGTAGAGCCAGTCTAAGGAAAATGCTTTGGTTTAAATTCTGGGACCCAGACAGCGCTGAAATTGCTGTGTTTTCACATTCCATTAAAGCTGCTGAGATTTTTACCTAACCGGATGCATACCTGCATTACTAATGTATTTTCTGGAGGAAAAAAAATGATAAGCAGTATTTAATTAAAGATAGTAGTACAGTTGGTATTCTCTCCTTCATATACATCAAGTGAAGCAGTATGTGTGTGTGTAACACCATCATAATCCTTAAATGAGTTCATCTGATTGGAAATCTTCTGAAAAGAGATGTGTAGTAGGTTGTGAAGGTGCAAATCGTAAATACATTGCACATTGAAAACAGATTAATCAGGAAATAGTCCGTTAACATGCCAGGGCTACGAAACTCAGCTGTCCTCTGGAATAACCAAGCTCTGAATTAGACTTTGACCAAAACCATATATTTCATGTGAACTGCTGTTGCGAAAATGTATACTCTTACAGTTGCTATGTGATTTAGGGTTTTCAGAGAACACACTCCAGAGTGTTATGATTTGTCTAATGGGCAGGATGGTCAGCAGCAATGCCGCAAGTCTTTTGTAGCGCTCAGCATTGTGTTTTTCTGTCGTCTCGGCTCTCAGTGCCGGAGCTGAACCAGAGGAAACGGGCCGTGTCACTAAAGGACTTGTTGCGCTTCTGCTGCAATGGGGAATTTTGGTGCTGCGGGTCATAATTTCTTTTCCCTCTTTCCAGACTATTTTTGGGAAAAAGAAGGATCCAGTAATGATTCATCAGCACATGGAAGTGAGGGAAAATTATATATGTGTAGGAAGGGACTCATTTGACCTCAGTGGACTGAATTTACCAAAACTTGGGCAGTTGCTTCAGAGTGGCAAGAAATGAAAGCAGTGGTTGTACACAAAGAAAACTAGAAGTTATCCTAAACTCTGGTAAGCAGGTTTCCCCTCTGTCCTCACCCACTGCTGTGATAGACATCTGAACTAGACTTGCTGTAAAGTCCCAACTGTTTATGATACCTATTAATACACTCAAATAAGATGTCAGACCAAGAAAATAGAGTAATGGGATGTATTTAAAATAGATTTCTGTAAAACTGACTTAACTGATCAGTAAAAGCTGATGTGTCTCCCAGCCCTGCTTTGGAAAACGGTGCTGAAAGGACCAGGCAAAAAAGGAAGACACTGAATTACAGTATTAATGGTGCTGTGTTTTCCCATAAAAAGTGATGCTGATCTACAGTCTTTGACAAGCAGAAGAATGTTAAGTCTCATGTTACATCCAAAACCAAAACACAAATGGGGGAAAAATTTTACCTAGGATGAAGTCCACAGTCCTGAAACATAGAACTAAATTCTACTACCATTTTTCCTAAAAATTTAAAGGAAGATTATTGGGTTCTTTCTATGTATCTTCCCTCCGTGTCTTCTAACTGGTTTGCTTTTACTGTTCCTAAGGTTATTTCTTATAGTAGCAAATGTAACACTTGCATAATTCTCCATCTTCAAGACATTTTATGAAATCACGTTTAATACTTAAATATTCCTTGAGCATATTTGTGCTTTCCATTTTGTATCTACCTGAAAATGTAACAGTTAAGTGACTTAGCCACATTTACAAACCTTCAGTCTTAGAATGGAAACTTGAAATTCAGAAATACCTGTGTCATTGCTCTGATCAAACAGCGTTTTTCTCACAATATTGATGATTTAAAATAGTCAACTGTAATCTTAATAGAAAGAATATACTAAAAATAATAGTCAAGTTTTATCTGCCCCTCCATCATTCCTTGAAAATTAATATGATACTAATAGAGTTGATGAGAAAGAGTTTTAAAAGTTCTGTGTCTTTGCTGCATGTGTGTGTCTCTATGTTGCACAACAACAGTAGTTGCTTTGCCCAGAAGAACATTTCTGGTTGGACCTTGTTCAGAGCAGTGGGGTCATGTCCGCCTTGTAACTGTCCCGAGCGTGAGAGACTAGGTTAGAATTACAGTTCTGATACCCACACGTGTGTTCTTACTTACACTTAATGAGTACTCACTGCACGGGTGCTGTCTGGCCGGCTCAGCAGCAGTGGATGGAATGTCTCTCAGGATCTGTCCATGGTCATCCTGGTCAAGGAAAAAGGGAAGGAGTGTAATGCCAGTGCAGATGCTTTCTACGGGAGTTTGAAACATCTGCAGTGTTTTTTTCATTACGCTGGCTTTGGGAGAAAGCATCCCACGCCATCAGCTAAATCCTAATATTTTACTTGATAGTGAAGGAAAAACATTATTGGTAGGTCACCACTAATTTCTCCACTTAAAAAAAAAAAAAAAAGGCACCACACAAACCCAGAAAATTTCAGCATGTGTTAAAAATATCATTGGATTACAGTTTGGGTGGCTGACTTATAATTTGCTAATAATCCTTTTCAGCATTCTGAAGTCACCAGCCCAACTTACAGACTTCTAAGTGAGTTACAAATGCAGTGTATTTTGGAATAGTTTAATTTGGCTGCAGTACAGAGCTTCTGTATTTTTAAAGCTTAACCTAATTTTCTTTATTACTGTGGGAGAAATATTTTTCTGGAAACAGAGCTAGTAGAAAGACACAAAAGCAAATATTTTGTTTACATTAGGCCTGAAAGTTGCTTTTCCTTGATCTTTAATGCCCTTTTAAATTACCCTCGCAGAAATGAGGATGACGACCTGCTTGTCAGACCATTTTAATATACTTACATGACTCTCCACGTATCTGCACTTCTTCTAAGTGTCATGTTGGTACGTCATGTGATATTTGTAACAAGTACGAATCTGTGACCGAGCCAGAGGCCAGACTTTGTAGTCTGACAGTGGTAAATGTATCATAAGCAAAGATATGAATTGTTCTTTATCACTAACTACAAAGATATTTAAGTAGCTCTTGGAGGGGGAAGTATTGCATGGCCCTCAACCATATTTTTTTTCTTAATGACTTTCATATATTTCTTTGAGATTAATATAATTAAACTGGCAGGTTATTGTTTTCTCTGTCTTCTGATGTAATATTTCTTTCAAGTTAAATTTCAAGCTTAATTTCAAAAAAATATATTTAATTTGAAAAGTTGATTTTATTTAGTTGTGTCCCCATTTGACTTACCTAGATTTCAGCAGGTTGGTTTTGTTTATGATGATAAAAGTTACAGCTTACTTTCATTCACTTTAACTTATTTTGAATTACTGTGATTATGTCCATATTCACAGAATTTATATTCAGGCAGGTCTAGGTCTGTCAGGGACTTTCAGATTGTGAATTAATTTTGTCTTGGCATTGAAGTGTCTAGTATATAAATAATACACCAAAATATGTTCATTAAAAATTTCTTGTAATTCTGGGACAGTTTTCTGAAAGCTAAATAGTTTCCTATGAGATTAATGCAAATCAATTTTTTTAGTATTTGTTTCATCATACTAGTTATCAGAAGCCTGAATTGTATTGTATCCATGGAAAGGAGCTGCAAAACAAACTTCTGTGAATGTAGAACTGATCAAAACAAATAAAGGTCCAGGTGTGATGGCCTTCATTTAAAAAAGACCCAGAAAAAAAGTTGATATGTTGATTATCTGTCTTTATAAACTTCATAAATTTAAGTAAATTAAATTATTTGGCAGTGAAGAGGTATAAACTTTCCCTTGAGCTAAATAGCACACCACAAGGTAGAGTTATAGGTTGTAACCACCTGTTTGGTGTTATATATGTAGGTGAGTTGGCTTCACCCTAATGCTGGTGAAATGGTTTCTGGATTACAAGCCCTCTTTCTTCACTGCAAACCATACCGTTTGCTAATTGGTGTCTGCCCTAGCAATCCCAGAAAAGCCACTGGAGTTACCTTTTGTTTGGAGGTCTAACTCCTGTGCCTACAAGCAGCACTGACATTGAAGACCTTTACAGGACATTGTGTCGTCACTGGGCATACTGGGCACCCCCCAGTCTGGTGACATCCATCCGTTGCCCTGATTAAGAGTTGAGTTACCTTAGTTTTGGTTACTCACATGGCAGTTATTCAGTTGACTGAATAAAATGAGTTGCAGTGATTAGAAATAAGGTGTGGAGATACTTCCAGTGCTTAGGCACTGTCAGGGAAAGGTGGTAGTTTTAGAGCAGAAGAGTAGACAAGCAGAATTAAGCTCTTTTTAAAGGAGAAAAAATACCCAAAACCATAACATCCAATTCTCTTTGTAGGTCACACACAGTTTGCTCAGAGCATTGTTCTTAGAAAAAAAAACATTGGAAGGTTCAAGACTCTGATTTTGTGTCGTTGCATTCACACGAGGTGACAGCGTGTGCCCTAGGTGTAAGGATTGTATTTTGGCTCACTGAGCACCTTCGTGTAGGAAGTAAAACAAGGGTTTCAGGGAACCCTGCCCTCAGCCAGTACTTTATCCCAGTTTGTCTATCAATCTTCTTTCCCTGATAAAATGCACCACTTCTGATATACTTAAGTGGGAAGGACTAAATTGGTCCCTACGCAAACATTTGGGCTAATAAAACTTGGGTATGCGAGTTCTCAGGAAAGCAAACACAAGGGATGTGAGCTTGGCCAAAGAAAATTGATTTTACATATTTGAGCTCATACACGTGAAAAGACACACCTCGAGTTCTTTTTCTTTGCAGTTATTCTGTCTTGGAGAATGGTTGCAGCCAACTTCTG